CTCGTGATTCTTCTAGATAATAGTGTAGTCTTGTATATTTAAGACCGGCCACGAAGCGACGGGGAGGTAATGAGTAATTGAACTGCAGTCAGTGAATGTGTAATTGAACAAAGTATTGTTGGAGTCGAGCACCTACGTTGAGAATTATAGCGCGACTGTTGAAATTAAGTGTATCGCAAAGTTATATTCAGAAAAAATAAACTAAAGTTTCGTCGGAACGAATTTACGGAAAATCAGTTAACAAACGGAGACGTAACAGTATCTTAGATTTCATAAACATATTGAAAATCATTCTTACGGTACAAATTAAGGTAGAAAAGTGAAGGTATCATTGCCCTTGGAAGTCTTTTCTATGACACCAGAGTAACATTTTGGGAGTTCGCAATTTTCAAGTAAGATATGAAGCGTCTATAAAGTTTTATATGATAAATCGATCTAAATAATTCTATTTTGTTTAAAGTTGCCACCAAAATAAGACACATTTCTGTACGATCGACTCACAGTTTAAGGGTTAAAATTATTTATAAGATATGTAAAGATATTAGCTCCTTTACAATTATCATATAGTAACCATGTTTAGTCTTATTAAGTGCATTCTGTCGTCATGTATGTCGCTGTTCATTAAATTGAGTATATAAATAAAGCTTCGACCGCTTCTATATTTGTCGTATCCCAGCCTGCTTGATAAGCTTTGGCATTGCGCTAAATGCCTCATCGGCACTGGATATAACAGAAGTAGCGTAATCTAATGTTAAATATTCTTGTTTGCTTTCACTCATATATTCTTATAATTACATTGTTCCATGAACAATACATCTAAGACCGTACTTGAAGATACAAATTAGTGTTCAGTAAATAAGATGTACTCTGTCTAGTTAATGTTACTTGCATTAATAATATTTATTAGGGCATTTAATATATATCGTTTAATCAATTTCTATTATTATTCTTTTATTATAAAGATTATTTTGCATTGTTAGCTTAGTATATGTATTTAGAACTAATCTAAGCTTCTTAATCTAGCCGATCTCGTGAGAAATTGGTGGGTTGACAGACGAAAATATCGTTAGCAGCGAGGATACCAAACTGATGAAGCAATACATTCTGATATTTATAAGTAAGGACATTAGAAGACTTTATGTAATTAGCAACACACATTACAAGGATAATTTTTAGTTTTGTTCTGAATAGGTAGCTTGATCTGATCGGAAGTTAATATTAATTAAAATTATAATATTCTTATACCAATTTTTACATTAACAAAAGTCGTTTATTTCTCTTTCAGTTAGAACCTAAGCAAAAATGATGTCTGATACAGATAATTCAAGCCGGATTCTAGATATAGAAGAAGGTCTCCGTGACAAAAAACCCGAGGAGGTTAAAGAATTTTATGAAAACATGGGCAAGTAAATATGATGAGGTGAGTATATCAGACTATGAAAAACCTATTACTTTTACTATTCCTTTATTGTAACATACAAGGAAAATCTAAGGCTCTAACTGCAACATGCTGCTAATTGTGTCCAGCTGCTGGGATGTTATAACTGTGACTGTCAATCTCGCTAACAAATTGAAGGTATTGCTGATTGGTTGTTCTCCCTCTGGTCAGCACCTTTAAACTAGGGATTGGTCATGCTTGAACCTTAGAGGGTCTGTGATTTGACCGCTTAGGCCATGTGTCGCATGAGATATAGTTTAAGTTCAAAATTATAATACTGATATATTTATTAGGTAGCTTAGCAGGAACAAATAATTCAATCAAACTTCTTATTTGACATTTTGTTTTTCTTTCTTGGATAATTTAAATAGCCTAGCAACGCTATTACAATAACTCGTTGAGAATGTCTATTGATTATACTGTAAAATAACACAAACCAACACAGAAGTAACAAGGCCTTTGTTCAAGAGTTTCACAATATCTGTTTACTACAGTGTAAAATAACCCAGACCAATGTAAAAATAACAAGGAATTTGTTCGGCAGACGAACGGGGGAGATGAAATGACATGATGTTGCTGCCACCAGAACGTTTTATTGTTATCTTATCGTATGCTGCTGAAGGTCGGTAAGTAGATATATGTATTCTGGAGTAAAGGTTAAACAAACAGAAAACACTAGATCACATTACCTAGTCAAATTTGAACCTAATATTTCTGGCAAATATTACAACAGTACAATACAACCAAATTAAACACATTTGTATTCAAGACATATGAAAACCTGTAACAAATAGAAAACAAGAAACAAATGAAAGATCTCCCATGAAAAATAATTCAAACATTCACTAAGTGAGTTATATACTTAAAACATAGCTATGGTAACTTGTACCTTAAATTAGGTTATATTCTAAATGCTAACAAACTATAATGTGAAATAAAACAATTTCCTTCAGTACAAATTATTTATTTCGGATCTGTACATTGGCCGCGCGACATAAACCTACAGAATTATAATACGTTTCACTAAATAACGGGCTACAACATGTAGTATGCATGAGGATTATTTCTGTCACCAGATTATCTAAGAAAAATAAAAACACTGGTAAAATAGTTCACAGATTAACGAATCATTACAAAAACTTAACGACGTCTGAGTCTGTTATCCACATAGCCATAAGTAGTTATAATAAAGTATAAATTATAATAATCATATATATATACACCATACATATGATAAATAACGTTGATTCTGTATGAAGAAGATAGAATCTCAGCTGTGTGAAAACATGTCTACGAAGATTGTGCTGGCCCATCGTAAACTTTATATATATATATGTGTGGAATTTATGAACAGTCTCAACGGTATTTCCGTGTAGACGTTGAAAACGTTCACTTTAATGTGAACTTTGAGTAATAAAGCCCTCTACGTCTGTACAATAAAGATATAATACCCACCATTTCGGACGTTTTTTCAACCTCAAAGCTGCTATGCTCGTTCTGTTGCTCTTATCAATCTCCTGCTTGTCTTTCAGCCGGCTTAGGCTCGGCATGGCCAGGTGGTTAAGGAACTCGACTCGCAATCTAAGTGTCGAGTTTCGGAATCCCTGTCACACCAAACATGCTCGCCCTTTCAGCCGTGGGGGCGTTATAATGTGACGGTCAATCCCACTATTCGTTGGTAAAGCGCGAAATTCAAAATAAGCCAAACCAACCCCTTTGACATTTCTTTCAGAAATGACAACTGTCAAAAGCGCTCACTTCGGCAACGGTCTTTTTTGCGCTCAGTTAAATGACAAAGAACGGTAGTATCTAGGGGAAAACATCCCCGCAGTTACTTAATGAACCTAAGCGCTCTATTCTGCTGGATGCACCCATTGCATCGAAACCCAAACATTTTTTCAACAGTTCACTGTTGTTGGAATTTCTTCCTTAAAACAAAAGCAAAACAATGAACCTTATTGACATAACACATGGAATGACAAAAGACGGTCGTAAACGGCCCACTAAACAATCATATGGCATATACGCTATGATTCAAGGCTTTTGGTTGACTGCAATTTTTTTATTTATTCATCGCTATTTTTAAGAAATTACCTTTGGATTATTTGAACGGGCATATGGTAGTGTGTAATATTACCGTATGTTTTGACACATCATCATGTAAAAGTAAATGTCGTTTTTTAAGCCGGCTGAATTGTTTCTTTGTTTTTGAATTTCGCTCAAAGCTACGCGAGGGCTATCTGCGCTAGTCGTCCCTAATTTAGCAGTGTAAGACTAGAGGGAAGGCAGCTGGTCATCATCACTCACCGCCAACTCTTGGGCTACTCTAATGCTACACGAGGGCAGATAGCGTTAACCCTCTCTAATTTAGCAGTGAAATACTACAGGAAAGGCAGCTAGTTATCACCACTCACCGCCAACTTTTGAACTACTCTTTTACCAACGAATAGTGGGATTGACCGTCACTTTATAACGCTCTCACGGCTGAAAGTGCGATCATATTTGCTGGGACGGAGATTCGAACCAACGAATCGCAGATTGCTGGTCGAGCGCCATAACCACCTAGCCAATGTCAGGCCCGTGTCCTCGATGGAGGAAGTCCCATTTTTTTCTTGAAATTCCATCACAAAAAGAAGAATGTTTGTTCTTAATAAATTTTATTCTTAGATTTACAATTCAGCACACACGTCGGATGGATATTGATGTCGAAATAAAAAAATGGATAGTTTTTGCTGTAATATGCTCTTGAAAATAAAAATTTTGATGTATAGTTATTTTTGTGTAATTAACTGTTCAGGAGATACAGAGCGCGAAAGATACTTGCTTATATGTATATATAGATACTTATGTCAAACAATGTGCAATAAATAAGAAAATGAATTACCACGAAGACGCAACTGAAAGAGTTTTATGTGAACTGATGACACTTTGCGTTCACGATCTGTTCATCTGCACAGATTAACCCGAGCCAAACAGATGCAATCATGAAACGCACAACTGATTGTATCAAATCTACTTGTTAATTCATTAGAAATGATCACCTACCCCACCTTTCTTGTCGTTATGGACCAGTATTTTGGATAACTTATTTTTATGTGATTGGTCAAAAAATTGTTGTTCTTTTTTTGGCATATAGATGTATCGGACAATGTTTTATTGTTGCTAATACTGTATTCTCTATCATTTACATTGTTTTTACAAATGTAACCCTGAGGTGTATCTGTTGATTGCTAAGTCCGCAATTAGGTTGCTGAGCTAAGAAAGAAGTTTCTTCTTTGTCTACGAACAAACAAACATGTCTGTCAGATCAGTAGACTGAATGAATAAAAAGTTGTGGGAGATAACAGTGCTTAGCATGATACACCAATATACTGATTAGCATAGCGTGTGTGTGTGTCTTTTATTATAGCAAAGCCACATCGGTCTATCTGCTGTGCCCATCGAGAGAAATCGAATCGCTGATTTTAGCGTTGCAAATCCGAAGACTTACCGCTGTCCCACAGGGTACCACTGACTAGTAAGAATGCATGACGCAAAACCTACTGCTAAGCTAGAGTGCAAGGCACAGAAGATATTTCTTACTGAGAGTACAAGACAGAATATATTGCTTAACGAGAGTGCAAGGCACAGAAGATATTTCTTACTGAGAGTACAAGACAGAATATATTGCTTAACGAGAGTGCAAGGCACAGAAGATATTTCTTACTGAGAGTACAAGACAGAATATATTGCTTAACGAGAGTGCAAGACAAAGAATATATTGTTTAGCGAGAATACAAGAGAGAGAATATACAGCTTAAATAGAATACAAGACACAGCATATACAGCTAAACTAGAACACAAGAGAGAGCAGATACAGCTTAACTAGAATACAAGACACAGCATATACTGCTTAACGTTAAGCAGTATATGCTGTGTCTTGTATTCTAAAGAATACAAGACACAGCATATACTGCTTAACAAGAATACAAGACACAGCATATACTGCTTAACGAGAGTACAAACGTGGAATATACCGCCTAGTTTGCAGTTTAGTGAGAGTGCTTAGAGTAAAACTTAACTATCACGATGAAGAGTCAGTATAATGTAGAGTGATATACAGAACGAAACAAATCCCATCTTTCTTCGTCTGTTTGTTTTTCCAGAAATGATTATATTTACTTTCACTAAATGGATAAGAAGAATTTGTTTAGAAAAATAATACACGTGAATGGAGATATACAATTCTTGTGTTTTATTTAGTTTACGTTTCTGGCTTTCCCTTTGTAGAATGTCATTAAAGATTTAGATTTTATTGATTTTTTTCATTTGTCTGACGTGAATAATCCATTTAGCAGCTACTTTAAAAAATTTTTAAAGAAATTTATTAGTCAGTTATATTCTCATATTGCAAAATTGCTTTACGATAATTTCACTGGTGTTTTTGTAGGAAGTATCCCTCTTCAATTATAATGGACCCGAATTAATGGCTAGAGAATTTGCAAAATTGAATGTACCAAAAGATGTTAAAGTCATAGATATAGCAGCTGGAACAGGTGCTTTGGGAAAGGAGGTGAGGTTTTCATTACAATTTCTTGAATTAACACTCGCATGCATTACTAGGCTGTGCACAAACTCAGCCATATCTATAAGTTAAAGAAAACCACGTGAAAGCGATGGACTGTACGAAAAATATATACACACGCACTCACACAATCGTGTACGTAGAAAACTGTATGTAACTCTAACAGATAATAAATACTAAGAAAATGTGTTATAAATTATTTACAAATTCAGTACTAACAGAACTTTTATGTAAAGTTTAAAGTTTTTCCTTCAACATATCTTCATTTGTGCAACTATAAGCTGTGTTTCACGTTGTAGATAGGATAGTTTTTTTTTGTTTTGTTTGTTTGTTGTTGAATGTCGCACAAATCTGCTGGAGGATTATGTGTTAACAGCCCTTAATTTTGAAATAACAGAATAACGCGACGGCAACTACTCAACAATTCCCAATACAAGATTAAAGTTGCAAATAAATTACTTATTTTTGGTTAGATTTTCCTGACTATTGATTCTCAAGGTTAAAGTTTTACATTGTGTTGACAAAAAAACAGAAAAAGTGCTATCTACTTTGGGTTATGTGTCGCTATAAGAGTGACAGTCAACTCTCACTAGTTTGTCAGCCCAACAGTTAGCAGTAGGGGCTGACAACTAGCTGGCTTCCCTATAGTTTATTATGTAAAAATTGGGAACGATTATGTATGAAAGTTTTAAACATTTAAGTGATTGTAATGTTGTCCCATCGATATTCACCACGCACGTGGACTTTAGTCGTTTGTATATTAAAACGTGTTATTCAATGTGCACTGGCTGTTTATATACAATTTAATGTCTCTTCAATCTGTGAATACATGTAGGACAAACTATATGGAACTAAAGTGTAAAACAAACACTTTACGATGATGACATAAGTGTATAGTAATACAAACACAACTCAACAATGTTGGACTTGAATGATTTACTGATCTTTTGTATTGTAGCCTTGCTATATTTTCTAAAAAGTAGCATACCAGACAATGTTTGATATTGATACCAGCCGACATAACAATTATTAATGTTTGATATCTTCACTGTGATCTTTTATAACGATAAGGTTTTTAACTTTCTTTCAATTAGTTTGTTCTTCGTGGACTTTATTATATTTATATATAGTAATACTATGTAATTTAAACTAAGAATAGTAATTTTACAAATTTTTGCTGAAAGCTTTGGGTAACCTTATATCAGTTCATAAATAACGACAAAATAGAACATCAAGTTATTATAAACAAGCAAAAGTACCTGTCTCCAGTGACGCGAAAAGTTTAAGTTAATCTATCAATTTAAATTATTTTATGGACTGTAAAAACAAACTTAATTGTGTTGCACTGTTGGTTTCACTCAGAGTCAAAGATCTGAGCTACTTGTACCGTCCACACGAAAAGTAATTGTTCAGCATTTCAGTCATCCTAAGAGCCGCTCAACAATAACATACGGTAAATCTGAATTTGTATTATTTAACTTACGTCACATTTTAAAATGTGAATGATAGTGTGATTAATTGCTAATAATTTAGTGTAGAATATCCTGCTTGCCTAATAAATTTGGTATCAACATTATTCATTCCTGTTAACCCGTCATTTCAAAAGTGAATGTTGAGCTTTGCCTGTGTGCGCAGCTTTTCAAACGCAGCGCAGAAAGCGGCTGCCGTAAACGGGAGAAAACGAACGCACGGACAGAAACCACTGTAACCTTACATCAGTTCATATTAAACATTCAGTACTTGGTTGGTCGTCCTTGTACTCTAAGAATGTCCGAGGTTATTGATGTAATCCACCGTGATTTTATCCCAACTTGTCACTAGAAAGTGCTGCATCTCAACTACAGTAGCTGATTTAGGGTCGTGGTTGGTAATTTTCCGGATCAGTCCTGTCCAACAGTTCTCAATAAGATTTCAATCTGGAGACTTTGCTGGCCATGGCAATCTTGTAATGTCTTTCTAGTCGAGATAATCCTGAACAATACGTGCACTGTGGGTAGTGGAATTGTCATCCTGAAACACAAAGTTATTGCCAAATTTTGCACTAACGTATGACAGAAATATCGTCTCCATATAATGCCTGTAGGAGGAGCCATCGAAGTTTCCCTGGATGATATGAAAAGCAGTTTTTCTACCATGATGAATAGCTGCCCTTACGTGTACCGCGCCATCTCCTGTGGGTTCCCTGTAGGAAAGACAGTCTTCTCTCATCGGTTCTCCAGGCAAACGACGAACACGAATCTTACCATCAGCTTTAATAAACCGGAAACAAAAGTAATATAAAAAGATGACATGTTGCCAGTGTCCTAACTGTAAGATAGTATGTTATCTTGCCTAAGTATCACAGTGACGGCAATGAATTCTGGTTAATAATGGTTTGCAGATAGCCCTTATTGCAAAATAAACTTGGTTGATCAATCTTCTGTTTACTGTTTATCTGGATAACTTAGAATAAATGTGTTCATACCCTTCCTGTCGTAAGGTGTTGCAAGACTTCTTTCGACATTGACGTGTTAAACTGATCAAAACACGGTCATCTCGAGCAGTATTGTTTGGCGTCTACCAGTAAACTTTCCTGAAACAAGTTTCTTGTAGTCCAATGGCGTTTTAAGATTCTGGATACAGTACACTGGGGTAATGTTCTAGCAATGTCAATTTACTTCATACAATTTCTCGACATTCGAACAATTTGACGCCCTATAACTACTGGCACGTGACTAGGCATGACTCCATTCCAAATACAGAGAAATTGTCTGAGCAAAGCGTTGATCTGTTTCGAAAAAAAGATTACAACAAAAGCACACTCTTTTATACAAAACAGGTATGTATATGTGCTTTGACGAACAAATGATCTAAACAACTTATACAGACCTGAATAACAGCTTGTACATTTTCGTCGGATTATACGCTATCTTCTCTATTACTACTCGGGTATTTACTCAAAACTACTCTATGCATGTAGACAATAACATCAATATAGAACATTGTGCAAACATTTTGGCCAAGACTGTAAGGGCATAGAGATACTTAGCAATTTTGAACTTGAATGACTTACTTTAAGACTGACCTTTTGTATTATATTTTCTAAAAAGTAGTATACCAACTAAAGTAATAGTTTATTAATGTTAGTTATTGATATCAGCCGATGTAACAGTATATTAGTGTTTGATACCTTCACGTTTTTAAAAATATTTTTATTAGTTTGTTATTCGTATTTTACTATATGTATAGTAGTACTATGTCCTTTCTACTAAAATAAACAATTTTACATATTTCAGCTTAAAGCCTTAGGTTACACCTGCATTGATGCTTTAGATGGAAGTGAAGGTATGCTGGAAGCTGCAAGAAAGAAAAATATCTACAGGAATTTATTCCAGTTTCTTCTCGGTTGTGACAAAAAATCACCAATAACTTACGGTATGTCCCAAATACATTTTCTTTTTTTAATTATATAAGTAATAGATGAAAGACTCATAACGTTTTGAATAAAATTTTCATTTAATTTTGTCTGTAGCATTGTTTGTAATTAAGCACAAAGCTACACAATGGGCTATCTGTGCTCTGCGAAACCCGGATTCTAGCGTTGTAAGTCCGCAGACATACATAACGGTGAAGCTGTAAATCATAGGAGCGAAAATCTATTTTTTCCATCCAAGGATCATAAACAGAGTAGCTTTAACTGGGACACAATTGTAGCTCAATTTTCCAGTGATACCTTAACACACGATTACTTCTCACGTTTAATTAAGATTAATGCTGTGAACAATTGTATAAAACATATGCCTGTGCTCAACATAATTCCAGACGCAAGCAACATTTACACTTCTTTGAAAAGAACAATATCATGCTTACTTGTTCTAGTTTACTCAAATACACACTAACAAATTTCAAGATTTGTCTGGGGCACAGGGCTTTAATATTGACATAGATAGACGTCAGTGTAAGAAAAAACTTAAATGAAAAAATATAAAGAAGGAATGGGGCACCAATAAGTAAGGAAACAAGGTAGGAATGGTCGGATAACATTACAACACTTTGTGGTTTTTGACATGGTGCAACGTCATAGTGGGTGTGGCCATCGTTCCTACTATTCCTACTTCGTGTGCTTTTTGTAACTTGATAATTGTTTAAACTAAATGAAACGTGTATATAGCTAAATTTTTCTGTTGTTAACTTTGTTACAGCAACCAAGTACAGATACATGTATGTAATAAAATTATGACATTGGGGGACCAATCAGGGAAGTTCCACACAAATGATATGCCCTTACTGTTGCACCAGCAACAAGTATAACGTGAACATAGTACATAGGCATTTGTTGAGCCATCTCTCGTAAACCTTGGGATAAGCTGATCCTTCTTGTATGTTTCCTGATCCAGTTTTCATTGCATTGTCTTTGCCTTGTCAATAGTTAACACCGATGTTAGCACATCAGACTTTGGAATATTGCCAACTGGCACAAATTCGTGTTAGAAATTTAGGTTTAATATCTTTCAAGCCTCAAAAGGGTCTTTGGGGCTTGAAAGACAACCTGGGATGTCCTTTGAGAGAAATTGTGAAGGCCACACGAACTTGAATGAGAACCAGCCTCTTGTTGTTCGAGGTGCGTGAAGACATGGTAGGTGCTGTCTCAAGCTGAGAGAGAAAATCGTGAAGAAGCCATTCAGTTTTCGGTTAATTTCTTCTTTTAAATCACCAGTTATTGCTTCAATTCCATCTTGATAAATGTAATTGTCCTGGATTTTCAGTGAGGAATTGCAATATTGGAATGGAGTTTCCAGTGTGAATTATTCCAGGTCTAGTTACTGTTTGAATATTCTAATTAAAGTTGTTCATCCAGAAAACTATTAAGAGAACAGATGACTTTGACTTCGGATGAAATAGCAATAACAGACTTCGCTCTTGAAAATATTACAGACGTTCCGCTAAACAAGTTTCACTTTAACACACTTAATCATGCTTACAACAATTTCTTAAATGCAATGGGATGTCCATGAGCATACTTTCTCCAGTCATGCTGTGCAGGATAACTCTAACAAGTTCGTGTTTTGCAGTAAGAAACTTGCCACGTGTGTCACAATGAATTGAGTAAGAAATTTGCCACATGCGTCACAATGAATTATCAACTAAGATAATTGTTCACTCTTGGTATGTTTGGGAGGGTTTTAATAGATGCGTGAAAAATGATTGAACTCTTTGGGGGTTATTGTTCTTTGATAATGATCAGTATCCACTGTTGGTGGCCGTGGAACTGAAGTTGCTCTCTGTTCATGATACGAGGAAGCAGCATTCTTAATGATTTGATCGCCATCCGTTCTCAAAAGCTCTCTGTCTAATGCTCCGACAGATAATGATTCAGCACTGATTATAACTTGTGGTTTTCTACGATTAACTGTTACAAATGTAAATAAATCTCTGTATTTTCTTCTTTTTTAGCTGTTCTTGAGGCTATAGCGATATTGTCGATCTGAAACTCTGACATCCGAGACTTTATTCAAAATTTTCATTGAAACAGCTTGGTGTCTTTAAACCAAATTGTCTTCAATTATATGACAAACAGTCTGATGATGACAAAACCTTGTCGAAACGTTGTACATTTGCTGTTATTCTAAACTTATATTAAAGTTTTTCTTCATTACCAATTCAAGCCGTCTCCAGCCATTATTGGCCTTAAACCTAGTTTCATCTGACTGCTTATTGTCATCCTTATAATCCCTCCCATTCTGATAATCAGAGGTTCACTCGCTTCTGATGACTATACAATCCAGGTAGCACCTATTATGTTTACGAAACGTCATTGCAGTGAGATCCCCTAAATTAACGTTTGTGAGCATATCTTTGGCCTCACGCAGTTCTGCCGTTCTTTTCGCTGTGGCTTTAGCTGTTTTTTATGTAACACTAAAAGTTAAATATTTTTTTTCTCTTCACTTTAGTTACATATTTGTTACAGATTTCACGTGAAACAGGAAAAATAACACTCTAGATGACGAAGCACAAGGAATACCATCCTTGATATGACAATGTTAGCAACGTTCACCAGCATCTGCTTGTTTTTTATATTTTCTTATACTATTGAATTTTGTATACTTCTGTTAGCAGTGTCTATGCCAGACATGCTTTACAGGTCGATAGTTAGGGACTGGGATTGGTGCACACTTAACATAGTGACTTTCACCACCTATCAGCAGTTTTATGATATTTTTAAGAACTATGTTAAATTAATGCTTTGCGTAAGTAAATACAGATGTTTCTTTGACAATCTTACTGATAAAATTATTATTGTTTCACGATAAACGAAGCATTTAAAACTCTATAATTTTTACTTGACAACGTATTTGTAGAATACTTCCAACATATATTTCAACAAATGTGGGGAATATCCATAGGTGGTAACTTTGGTCCAAAAGTTGCTCATTTACATTTATTCGAACTTCGGGTTTCGTTCATAATAAAACTTAATAGGAAAGCCTATAACAAAGCTTTGCACATCAATCGTGTTTGTAGACACATTGGCAATACTGGTTTCCCTAATTTGCAAGATTAATTAACGCTGCCATACATGTTTATCCACTGACTTTGGAAAATATCTGTTCCATTAAAGCAATGAATAGTGCCTGGATTTATATATTAGCATTGTTAATCAGTCATTCAAGTTAAAAATTTTCAATACCACGTTATCTCAATAAAAAAAAATGTTTCGTTTCAAATTACAAATAAGTCAAATAAGATGTTATGCAATATTTAGTACTCACAACTTAATAGATACAATATTGTTACGACACCGATAGTCATGTGACGCTAGTAACACGTCATGAGCTTCTAGAACATTCATGTCCGTTCGTGAAGCCTCGAGTGTTTAGTAGATGTGCGGTATTCTTGTATATAACACCGCCAAGAAGTGACGGCAACAATCGGAATTGAATTGCAGACAGAGATAAAGGCGGACAATTGAGTCAAGCGCGTGAATCGTTCGTTGTGAATTATATAATTATAGCGTTTGTTTAAGTTATAGCGTGACTGTGGAAATTAAGAGTATTGCAAAGTTGTATTAAGAAAGAATAAATTAGTTTTATTTAAGAAAGGACTTGTATCGCTAAAGTTTCTTCGGAAAGAATTTTTACGGAAAATTAACAAACGAACACAGAGGCGTAACAATATAATATTTTTTAAAACGACAATATGGCGAGGACAAAGACAATAAACTAACTTTTTCACACAAGATTTTCCTATTGCATTTTGAACATGAGACTTAATTAATTTTACGGTAAATTCAACAGTCTTCTTGATCTCGATCATAAGATTAATCATATAACAAAATATCCCAATCTTTAACTGTTACGTATATAATATAATTTCTTAATCATATTTTAAGGTAATAATGAGCCACTTTAGTATGGCGACCACCGTTAATTTAAGCTGAAATTATAGTTAGTACAAGCTGCATAACAACTAATTTATATAATATTACATTTCTTTATTAATTTAGTTGCATTAGTTTATATTAACTAACGCTTAGTGAGGGACCTAGTGAACTGAATAATTAATTCAAAAATACAATAACAGCAACGTTTACAGTAGGCACGTTTTGATTTAAATGATTACAACGCTTTGACCAGTTGTATCGAGTCATCATTTAGGTTTTGTTTGTTTGTTTGTTTTGAATTTCGCGCAAAGCTACACGAGGGCTATCTGCGCTAGTCGTCCCTGATTTAGCAGTGTAAGACTAAAGGGAAGGCAGCTAGTCATCACCACCCACCACCTACTCTTGGGCTACTCTTTTACCAACGAATAGTGGGATTGGCCGTCACATTATAACGCCCCCACGGCTGAAAGGGCGAGCATGTTTGGTGTGACGGGAACTCGAATCCGCGACCCTCAGATTGCGAGTCGAGCGCCTTAACCACCTGGCCATGCCGGGCCCCATCATTTAGGTAAGGGTTACAGTCAAAAATACTCGACAAGGTTTAAGTACAAAAATTCATGCAAACTACCATTTTGCCTCAACTTTTATGCGATCAACAGAGAGAAGATGAATTTGGGATACATCTTCTACATGGATCAACTATTTGTACTTGTTTAGCTCTCAGGTGACACCCCACCTCCGTCTACCCCATTCTAAAACGTATTCTATGACATATACAAGGCTGTAACTATGACAACTACCCATTGTTGTCAAATGACGATGCTGTACCTAAAGCTAAAACCGAATGGGTGTTTATATGTAATATTTTTATGTTGAATACTTAATAATATAAAAATTAAATGTAAGTTTATTTGTGGACAAGTTTTTGGAGTCCGGGTCACTTTCGGGAATATTTTTTTTTTCTTCTGGAAACAACATTTCTCATCCATCGACTGTTCCCCAGAAATCGGGGTGTTTCGTCATCCTAATGTAAAACTAGTAATTATTTGACTTAAGCCAGTCAAACAATTTCCTGAACTAAGATTATTTTCGAAAGGCTCGAACGAATAAGTCGGTTTTAGGTTATATTGAGAAAGTAACCAATGTTGATATGAAATTGGTATTTAAAATATAAATAGATAGAATAGAAAATAATTTCAGTTCTCGGAAGTGAGTTATTACCTAATGATGACTCGATACTATAGGTCGAAACGTTGTAATTACTAAAAACAGAAACTGTTTACTGTAAAAGTTGCTGTTATTGCACTTTTTAATTAATTATTCAGTTCAGTAGGTTCCTCACTAAACTTTAGTTATTTAATAGAAATTAATGTAACTAAAGTTACACCTGTTATACAAGCCAGCCCGGTATCTTGATGTGGATACAATAAAACGAGTTATTCCAGAAGGTTTTGGTTGTTTTGATTAGACAAAAAAAAGAAGACGTTTGGCATTATTTTTTTTAGGTCTAGGTCGCTGGACCTGACCCGAGACCGTGAGAGCCAACATGAAGAAATGAACTTGTAAATGTATAGTAAAACAATATAACAATGAAACATTATTGAGATGTTCTAGATGTGGTTGTAAATGAGATGGCTCAAGTGTAGCGACTAAGTTAAACAGAGGATCCAAATTGAATGAGGGAAGAACTTTTTCGAAGATATTCAAATCGGTTTGACATACCAGCTGAATCAGAGATTTATCAATTGATTACTGCACTGACAGCGAAACACAAAAAACGGGTACAATAGTATGATTATCTTCAAAAGGGTGAATTGGAATCATATAGAAAAAAATTATTAGTTTCAATATTTTGTGAAACTAACGGCACAGTAAAGCCTCAAAATACAGTATTGAAGTTGAACCAGATTCACGATGTATTACAAGATGATTTCCCTAGCGATTCTTAAATGTAAAATGTCATATCTGAAATGAAGAGTAAATATAAGAAGGATGATATAATGTCTAGTATTGATACCACCATAGTATAATTCATATAGATTTC